AAACCCTAAGCCTTAAACCCCCAAGCCCTGAACCGTTCCAGGCCGAGGAGCCAGCGTGCCGACCATAGCTTTGAGAAGTGCTCGCAGGTGCGGCGCGGTTCAGGGTTGAAGGCTGAAGGGGTTACGGTTTAAGGGCTGAAGGGTTGAAGGCTCTGTGCTTTACATTTTAGGGCTGTAGGTTCCAGAGTTTCCCTGAGCTCTATCAGGCAGGGGCTGGATTTGGAAGGTATGTATTGTGTGTTCTTTTTGGTGCGGCATCCTGGATGAAGTGTCAACCGGGAAGTGTAGGAGGAGGCAGACGCAATTGCGCTCATTGGCGAAGAAGGGTCAATGAAATCCAAACCACTCTAAACGCTAAACCCTATACCTTAAATTAAGCTCGGAACTCTAAAGCTGAAACACGAAACCCTAAACCTCATACCCTGGTCCTAGTCACGCCTACCAGACAAGTGCCTTAGATCCCTGAATGCCGAACCTTTGCACGGCAGTCCCCTCCACCGCACCTCGATGGCTCCCTAAACCCGAAAACCCGGCAAGCTCGAACCCCGATTTCGATTTGGGGTGTATACGCGCATACAATCCCCCTTAATAAGTAGATAGAATTTAAGATATGTATGGATCTTATTCGCCGAGGCTATCTCCAGCCTTGCCCCAGGTTTGAGGCTGCAGCGAGCATTTGTTGTCCAACCCCTCCCCTCCCCCCACCCTTCCCTCCCCCCCCCCCTCTCCCCCCATCCCCTGTCAAAAAAATCAGGGTGTTCTACAAATTTGGCTCTCCAAGCTTGCAACTTCCCTCACGGCGAATGGACCAAGCTCAGCCAACCCCCTCCATGAATGCTAGAAACACACATGCAACAAACACGTCTAAAGTCAGGCTTGCCTCCGTTACTCCTTCGACCATAAAGCCCACGTGGGAACTACATGCCGTGACCTATCTGTGTGCTCCGCGCCCCGCCAGCCGAGGCGGGCGCGCGATAGCGTTCATAATGGTAATATACCCAAAGCCATATTCTACCTACCTAGGGGCACTGTAGGGACAACATGTTTTTGCACAGTCGCAATCCTTGCGCATTTGTGAGCTGCTGCTGCTGAACCTGCTGAGCCTTTCAGTGGTGTGAGGTCCTGGGCGAGTGTCGGCCTCAGTGTTCCTGTTCGCAGCGCCAGGGCTTAAGGAGTTCGGGTCGAGAAGGGTTTAGAGGGTCATGTGGGGAAACTCGGCATTGCTGCACTTCTGATCTTTTAACATTTTTTGGGATTACGCAGCGTTGATGGGTTTTCGCAAGTGTGGACTAGAGCAACATGCGGACTATGCAGGGTTATTCGTGTTTAGCAGTTTCCGCTGCAGCTGGAGGGTTTGGGGTTGTGCAGATCATGTATGGGCCGACTAATCCAGACCCTTGTTTGATCAACCTCTCCCCTTAATAGGGATTATGATAGCGATCCTGACATTAAGGCCATAAGCCTAAACCCTAAACTACCCAATGTAAAAGGAATCCTAATATTGAGGCCCTTAAAAGGGGGGGTTTACTAATCATGGGTCTAGATTCGGTGTTATGTAACGCGGAAGGGTTTACATGGTGGATGACAAGCCTTCTCTGCTATTTAAGCCATAGTCTAAACTCCTGAAAGGGGTACATATAGGGTTATAGGGGAGTATTATGGGGGCTATCAAGGGGATACTAGGAGTTTAGACTATAGCCCATTTTGGTGTCTATGGTTTAGGGTGATCATCTTCTGAGGAACAAGCTCCTCGCGAGAACAGAGATATCTCGACACTGGTCCTGAGTCCCTGCGCCCTAAACTGAAGACCCACAAGGCGGATACCCTAAACCCCAAGCTCCAAACCCTTGGAGGTTAGTACGCGCATGATGCTACGTCTGCGGAACCTTCCGCAACTCTGTGCGACAGTCCCAATTCTACAGCCATGCTATTCCATACATACCCCATGGATGAGATGTCATCCTTGCAGCCCGCATGTTTACAGGGGAGGCGGTGAGAGTTTGGAGTTTAGGGTTAGGGATTCTCTGGCCGGCAGTCCGCAAGTGCGTGCTGAAAAAGATTCTTTTGTGTTCTGTTAGCCTGTGGAGGGCTAAAGGTCATGTGTGTCATTAGGATCCCCTTAAGGCCCGCCAGGAACGTAGCCGTGCTAAGACATAGTCAAAGCTACAGTAGCACAGCTTGATGCCGCAGTGTCTTTTCAGCTGTCACATCCTCATTGAATTGCCATGGTATCCGCACCTGGTGACAATTCACATCCACATCAGCATGGAACCCCAAGGACACTTCGGGATGATGGACTTAGATAGTTTCCCCTACTGTTGTAGAAGGGGAGCTATTTAGGGTTTGTGGTTTAGGGTATAAATAGTTTTGGGGGCCTTTGAAGTAGCACCTAGTTTAATATCCATTGTCGAGCAAATGGCTGCTAGAGCAAGCAAGAAGAGGCAGCGGCTTGCAGATCATGCTGAGGAAGATGAAGGTGGGCAGCTTTGCAAGCTGAATACCATGGCCCCCAGTAGAGAAAAATATATATATAAATAAATATATATATATACACACTTTTGTGCATAGTTTTGTTATATGAGTGCTATAACCTTCGCCACCGAAAAAACACAGCTCAGGTGTTCTGAACAACTTGGGGCTTGCCGAGCTCGTTCCGGTGAATTTTAGTACTGGAACATCCCAGGCTTACGCATGCATAGTTGGGAATGTGGGTCTTAGGTATTTTTATTTGGACTACTATGGGGATGCTTTCCCCCATTCCCAACTAAGCATGTGAGTCAGGTGGAAGCCAGCCTTCTCATTACGGTTTCAAAGTGGTTCAGGCGCCAGCTGGTGCTCAACATGCTTCCGGGGTAGGTTTGGACATGCCTTTTGATTTTTCAGGAGCCAAACCACTGCGTTACAATACTTATTCCTCCGACTGGATCTTGACTTCTTACCGGGCATCCAAATCCGGCTCAGGACTCACAAGGGCAGCCCATCAATTGATATATGCGAACCGGAGGAGGAGTTTCAAACCGTTTGGCTGTTTCTCCAGCCGGGGGACACGGCCAAGGTGACAACTGAGAACTTGGTTATGCTGTTCAAATGGTACGACAAGTATGAAATGTGGCCATTGCGATGCCATCTAGAGTCCTTCATCCGAAGCACCCAAAAATGCAGCAAGGATGTCTTGATCGTGGCTTTCAGAATGGGCATGATGGACATGGTGGACAGGATTCTGGAAGCTCTCCTCGACAAAGGCATGCGTGACTGGCGAGAATGCTACATGTACCAGGGGCTAACGGAGAAAATCCTGGAGTATGTCATGAAAAATCGAAAGCTCGACCGATGTTCGAACACGGGGGCCTTTTTGGTGTCAGGCCCGCGTGACTGGAGCAAATGCTACATGTACCAGGGGCTAACCAAGAAGATCCTGGAGAATGTCATGCCAAATCGACAATTGGACCGGTCTTTGGATAGCGGGAGCTGTTTTTCCTGACCGCCTTTGTTCCTTTTCCTTGTTGGGATTGGGGGAATGGGCTAGTTTCCGAATTGGTGGGCCCAACCATAGACACCGTCATTCTTCAGCCATTCTTAAGCCATTCTTACAAGACACCCCCCACAAAAAATAGGGACTCCTAATTGCTGGAAATCCCGAAATCCATGTAGTTATTGGGACGAATAGGGATCCATTCCCCCATGCCCAATTATGCAAATTAAGCATGAGCAACTGTTCCAGACTGCTCCATCCACGTTGCCAGAAGTGTCGACGTTGCGATGAGGCGAGCGCCGTAGGTGTGAATAAATGAGCCCTGTGCGCTTTAGGGTTGATCTACGATGCACGTCAGAGGAGCCTGGATGTGGCAGTTGCAATAAACAGCGGGAACCCCACTAATACCTTACCCTAGGGACCCCCAAACAGTGACCCCCAAGGAAAAAAGTCCATCTGTCTGATTGCTGTTTCATATCCCTTCAATTGCATGCCTTCCCTGGGCGAGCATTCAGCGTCGGCAAGAAGTGCTCCCCCACTGTTCCCCTCACCCTGAAACCAGGTAGGAAAACACTCAAGTTATCAGGTTTATCCCTTTAGGAGTTGCAAAAAAAAAGGATAACATTCATGTTTTGTAATATGCCTTCATAGCCTCTAAATCCTAGACGGCCATGCTATCTGGTTCTCCATTTCATTTCCCTTTTCCATTACCCTATAAGCCCCCATACTCCCCCCCTCCGTCCATCGCACGCCCGATATATATATATATATACACACACACACTATATACAGTACTGGCTTCTGTTTAGTCCCCCATCCACCTTAAACTCTGAACCCTCAGCTCTCAACCCTGAACCCTAACTAGTCCCTGTACCTTGCCCTAAATGGTAGCTCCATTTCCTCGTCCATTAACCTTGTACCCTAAACCCTTCGCCGTAAACCCTAATTCCCCTTTAGTCCCTCAACTCCCAGCCATTCCTAGGATGCGCCTTGCCCACGCGCGCGCCCGCGCGGGCGCCTTAGGCATGGATGCGCTCCTGGGTTGCATTCAGGTGGGCTGTAGCTTAGACTCTTTAAACGGGTGTTATATGGGGATTATATAGGGTTTAGGATTTAGGGTTCAAGGTTTAGGGTTTACGTTGTAGACTCTTTTAAAGGGGTGTTCTACGGGGGATTATAGAGCGAACTATTATGGGCGTTAGTAAGGGGGATACCAGGAGTTTTGACTATGATTCAGGCGGGCTTCCTCAACGCAATGTGGCTGGCTCAAGGACCTTTGGGAAAGGGGTTGTGGCATTCCTGACGAAACTCTCGGCAGCCGTGGGTTGAGTGGCTTTGTTTTTTCCATTGTTTTGAAGTTTTATGTGGTCAAGGGCCAAGGGCTCAGGGCTTAAGGTCTAAGGTTTATGCCTGGGAGCTTGGGGTCATTTGAGGCTTAGGGGCGTCATGGAGCGCTAATTGTCTTCTCTGGGAAAATGCATGTTCAACATGTATTTGAGCCCATGAGCCGTATGGAGGATCAGTTCTCAACCACTGAATAGGGAGGGAGCGTGTGGGGAGGATCCTTTACGAGTTTCGTCGGATTCTGTAGTCCCTAAACCCTAAACCCCTAAACCTTTTAGACCCTCAACCCAAAACCCCAAACTCTATGAATTGGCGTTTGGCCCCAAGAGCTGAATTTTCACCGGAGGCCACATAGGGTCCTGCTGAATTTAACTATCAACCGTAGTAGTCGATCAGCATACAATGCTGAACAATGATCCCCAAAGATCCATCCGTCCGTTTCGTGCTGCACGCCAGGGCTGCCACTCCAGATTCCCCTATGGACTTGTAATATCCTTGAAATGTAAACCCTAAGCCCTAAAACCCTAAACCCCAAACCTTATATCTACCCAAGTACCTTCAACATGGGCCAGGCCCCGGAACTTGCGAAAGCCAGCGCCCCGAACCTAATTAACATGAGCTACAGTCTAAACTCCTTAAATGGGGTTATGTGGTGGATTATGTAGGGGACTTTATATGGGACTCCTTTAGGGGTGATTGAGGGGGATACTAGGAGTTTACACTATAGCTCTTTTGAAAATCTCCTCCTTAACGACTAGGGTTTAGGGCTTAGCGTAGGGCTTAAGGGTGTTGCTCTTAAGGAACCTAAATCACGTCACCGCAAGATGGATATGCAGTAGAAGATCGTCTCTCCCGAGTGTAACAATTTGCTTCAAATTCCCTAAACCTTAAACAGAAGCAACCATTTTCTTTTCCGTTATCCCTTAAACCCTAAACCCTAAATAGTAGCTTCCATTTTTTCTCCATTATCCCCATACAACCCCAATATACTATAGTAGTTTCCCTTGTTGCAGCCCAGAAAGGTATCTTGCGGTTCATATTTGTGAAATACACGGTTTAGGGTTTATAGCGATATATGCATATGTATGCGTATATATATATATACACATGCGCATAGGGCTCAGGCAACGGGGTTTTAGGGTAGTCCGAGTAGTATGAAATCGAGATATTACAGTTTCGAGTATAGAGCCAGGTTTTTATCTCCGTTTGGGTATAGTATTTTGTAAGAGGAAAATGATCCTACTCGCTTACCTAAGCCGGCCACAGAAGCCAATGCTTTCATGGGTAGCCAAACGACCAGAAGTAAAATCGCCGTCCCCAGGAGCCATTTTTTAGATTAGGGTCCTTACGAGTGCTTACCTAAAAAGTATTGTTTTGAGAGCAGCCATTTTGTTTGCTGCTTGTTCGGACTCCCATGTGCACACTAAATCCGAAACCCTCAACCATCACCCTGAACCCTAAGCCCTGGAACGCTCAACGTCGAATCGCGAAACCCTAAGCCCTGAAGCCTCAAGCCCCCCTCAAGTTCCTAAACTTCGCTTCGCCCCCTCGTCTCGCCGAGTGGGCGAGAGGGGCAAATGCAGCCAAGGCACACAAATACAGATAGTTTCCATACGAAACGTGTTTAAGGAAGTCTGAAAGAGGCTTTATGCCAGGTCGTTTTTTGTTTTTTTAAAAAACGACCAAACATAAAACAGCTTTCATGGGCGATAACCTGAAGGGCAGTGGAAGGATTGTGCATATTCAGCAGCTGCGACCCTCTGACAGGAGCTGGTAAAAGACATGCTTCAGTAGGATTTTGCATGCTCAGATGATACAACTGCGCACAGTTCTGCGTATTGAAGGGCCAGAATTGCGTTGCAT